TGGAAAGTCAATTGTACAAGCTTAGCGAGAGGAAGGGAATGGTTTCAACATGATGTCTGTGCCCCGCAGCCCCCAGGCATACAATTATACCTAGGCACATTCTGCCGTCTGTGGCTTTAATGGAGTCAAAATAAATTTAACTTTTTCTAAGGGCATTTTGATGGTCATGGGTAGGACCTCATCAATGACCTCCGCGATCCGCCCCCGTAAACAGCGCAATGTCCATTACGCAGTCTTCATGGCCTGTTGCCACGCATAAATCCGGCCTGTTCCGTCCCTCCCCTGCCTTTAATCCCCTCCCCTCTTCGCCCTCCGTCCCCTCCCCTCCCCCGGGCGGCGAGACCGCCGTATCAGCCAATCAACAACAAGCATATTCTGCGAGACGCGTCAGTTGAAGCAGAAGTCAAGGACGGGCAAGAGGTTGAAAGTGGGACAGGCAGCGGCTGTCAGTACTGAGTTCGTTATGCCCATTTGGCATATTTGCCGGTGAATTTGCGATGAGTGATGTGACTATGACGATTGGTTATTCGTTGTGCGTCAGAAAATCAAGAGGAGTGATGTCTTTGGGTGTGCGACTGCGGTGTGATCAGTGGTCGGTGCGGACTGAGACCGGAGGCGCGGACCGAATCCGGTGCGGTTTGAACAATTTTAGTGAAAAGGTGAATGGTCACGGAAGGAGCTTAGGCCGGGATCTCAGATCGGTAGCCGCCTGAGGTGCTCCCCACCTGATGCGACCGACGACAAGAGGAAGATCGGCGACTCTTCATGACCTTCAAAAGGTGACGTACCGAGCTATAACACAGCAGGCTTATTTTTATTGCATAGGCATGACAATATAGCAAGCCTCAGCAGCCAGTTTTCCTATAATTGTTGCCGGGTCAGATACCTACGCAATAATTGGGTTACGGTGACATGGGTGTAAACAACTTGTTTTATAGGCGTGAGCCCAGAGCTGAGATCAGAGACAGCTTCGGGAGTTGCGCACGAGACTGCGTCCTACAAATATTATGGTAATGCTTCTGGTGGAATCTGCTGAAATTGACAAGGTCACAATCACAGATAACAGTAGTACTACTGTTATCTGTGTCACAATGGATGGCAAGGTAAACACCGATCTCCGATCGAAACCTGTTCGATGGTCACGATCCAACTCGAAGCCCATTCCAGACGCCGCGACGAAAATATTATTTCACCATCATCTTGCCCAACTCCAAACAGTCCATGTTCTGACATATGTTGTTATGTGTTGCCGCGATTCGTCGCTGGTTAATTAATGATGTCTCATGACCCACGTGAGAGGTGTGTTTTCATTGCCTACTTTTCCACGCACGGGACGCGTTTTGAACTGCGGACATCCGCTTGAGGTGAATCAGGTAGCTCGATTCGAGAGCCATGCGTCCCATGAACTAGGAACAATCTAGTTACGGTCAGGATGAGGAAATTCCTGGAACGCAGCATTACTGTGTCGTTGCTGCCTTTTCTTCGCTATTTCCGTCAGTCGCCTTCCTTCTCCAACCAGAGACTCGCAATCCGTCATACTGGCAAGGACACTGACAATTTCGTCACCGACTGTTCCGTGCAAATCCACGCATATCGACTGTGCCCAGAACGCTGTTATGGCCGTGACCGTTGCCTTAGCTGTGACCGCTGCTCTTGTTGCCACCACCACATTATCGTTTAAAGGCCTGTCGCTTCGGCTGCTGACGGTATCCATATCACTGATTTTCCCACCCCTGTTACGTCTGCCACTACCAGCTCCACTCAATGCTCAATGCTCATTCCATGCATCACCGCTCAGCTGGCAGCTCTGTCCTACCTGTCTCGGTAGGACACTCCCTCCTCTATCGCAGCCTGCTCTGCCCTGCCATGCACCCATCTCCTACTGCGTCATCACCACTCTTCACCTATCTCCATCGCTCCCACTGGCCACTTCTGTCCCCAGCACCCCACCACCTCTCCTCCACTCCTGTTGCCATCGCTTCGCCCTCTCTCCGCCTGCTTCAGTAATTCCCTCGGCCACCTCGCCGCCCCCGACACCGCCCTCGGAGACCGACCACCCACCGCCGCAGGGCAAATCTATGCACGCCGCCCACCCGGCCGACTCTCGGAGCAAAGGAGATGGATGACACGCCGGCTGTCAGGACCTTTTAATGTGTCGGCCGCGGCCCTTTGTCCCTGTGGCCGCCCCCTGGAGTCTGTGAATGGGCGAAACGTCCCGTAAAAAAGTGCCGCACTGACGCGACTGGCTACTGTGCAGTGCAGTGCTATACACATGCCGGTACTGATCCGGTTCGTCACGATCCGGTGCTGGTCCTGGCTCGATTTTGTCCAGAATTCCCTCATCCAGGTGCGGTATTGCTGGTAGTCTTCCTCTGGTCCCAGTACAGGTCGGGTCTGGGTCCGGTCTGGGTCCGGTCTACGTCTGGTCTGGGTGGGGTCTGGGTCCGGTCTCGGTCCGGTCTACATAGGTCCGATCTGGGCTCGGGTCCGTGACTATTGGTTTCTGATCCATCAAGGTGCTATAAAAGTCCGCTCCAACCCAGTACATATCCAAGTCCGATTACGGTTCCGGTACGACTACATACAGTCCAGTCCACCAATTTGCTTAGAACCAGTGTGGATCCATTTCGATCCGGTTCTGGTAATTATAAATACGGTTTTGGGACGTCAAAAGGTTTAGTCCCGTTTCGGTTCCAAAATCGATCTGGCGTCCTTTGATCCAATTCAGAACACGCTTCATTATGTTCGAGCAAGGCCCGTTTCCTTTTTGTCGTATTTAAACTACTCGGCCTCCCAATTTGAGTTCCATCTCTGCATTGCTGAAATCAAACTGCGACGTGATTCTGTAGCTGCGTTGAAGAACAATAGTGGATTACCGAATGTCTGCCTGAACCGTTCCGTCTCTGACACAGTGAGACACTCGCAGTGACCCGCCCCGTGCAGCGTCACTGGTGGGCGCGCAGTGCGCACATTGTGCTGCCGCCGGCCCGTCACGGAGGGGAGGGGGTGTCTCGCTGGGGCGGCACAGTGGGAGATCTGGAGGCCACCGCCCGTCAGCCGGCCATTGTGCTACCGCCGGAGATGGTCCGCCGACACCGGACAGCCCCGAGTGGGGTCATTCTGAGCGCCATTATCACCGAGTCATCGTTAGATACGGATGTCAGCAAATGATCTTGTGAGAACATTACTTTACAGCCATAAGTAATGAGTTTGGGAGCCTTTCTTTCACCACGGTCTCCATATTATCACTGGATAAGAATCCTCTTTCACGCCCACATTCTAAGCATAAACATGTTCGAAAGAATATTAAGTACCTATGTACATACTGCGGGTTCATGTGTAAGCATCAATACATCAGTAATCGTCCTAGGTTTGTCGATGCACTATCAGTACCTAATTGGGAGAGTGAGGTAGACTCCGTGCAATGTGTAGGTATTTGCCTTTGCAGGGACGTGCATGCCTGTTGCTAGGTAGGTATAGCTTATCGGTTGATAGCGGACCCTATGCGCGGTACCATCAGTCACGGGATGATAATGCCTTCCTGGCTCGGGTCTGTCCATTTATAACTCGGCAACGCTCGCGGAATTCGTATTCAAATGCCTCAGTCCGACCGGGTTCAGTCCATTATAGCTAACCACAGCTGACGCAAATAACGTCAGAAAAACGCGTACGCCTCAGATGAGCGCGGTCCGAGTTTGTGGGTAAAAAGCAGCACAATATGCGGTCAGTGCGGAGGCGGACCTTTTCACCTCCTTCGGACGAGAGCAGACACATGAATGGAGGGTGTCCTCTGAGCACAGGTTCTGAACTTTGGCACAGCACAACATACCGATACCGGCACTAACGCAGCGACCCTGCGTGTAGGACGTAAGGCACCCTGAGTGTTGGGGTCACGTCGTCAAACCTAAAACAAGCGTGACGAAGGCAACGAATACTTGCTTCTCATGCTTCCTTCATCCTTCTGTTATAAAAGGATGCATCAAACATGATGACATAATACACTATGCCAGCAGGCGAATCTGGAACATTAAATGTCACAGTAGCAAATCAGTTTATAATCAAGTTTTATATCAAGTAACTTCAACTATAATCGATATAGTTTCTTGTCTGTGCCATGATCAGCGCCACTGAATCACAAAAAGTATTAATTATAAGTTATAACAATTTTCTACCGAGGAAATATGAGATGTGCTTGGACTTTTAAGCGATATCGCGATCTGAATCGAGGGCCGTGGCCTGGCCACGGCTACACTGACGTACTGACGACATTGAAATTGAAACACAGCTCAGCTATCAAAAGAGCACTGCTCCAGCTGTTGGAGCAGATTTGCTGACCCAAATGAAACATTCGCCATCTCTATGTGCTTGTATGATGTGCACGAAATGCGTTGCAGTAGCTTTATCTGAGCGGACCAGCCAGCGCAGGGCCATGTGTACATTCAGAGCCACATATACATGCACATCAGGCCCCGATAACCCGTTGCTCTCCGCTATCGGCCCCGTAACGGCGCCATTAACCATCCGTTAATGGTTAGGATTGGTTTAGTGCACAGACGGCGGCACCGCTTGGCCGGCAGTGACAGCGGTGCAGACCGCGGCGGGCTGTATTTCGCCCCGACCTGCCACCGACACCCGGCCCGATACGATCGGCCCTGGGACGGACCATCGGCCGGCGCCAGACGCCGGCGGGGGCTAACGACGTCACTGCTCGCGAGATACGGCCCGGCACGGCTGGGCCGGCCCTGACGCTGACGACTGCCGCGATATCAGCGTCACGGCGTCATCAGCGTCCCCAGCGTCACGATGTCGCGTCCGATGTCCCCTCTCCGAGCGGTACACTGGCGTCGTGAGCCTCCCATCCCATTTACCACACACATGACACATGAGCCGTCTGTTCTCTATGGCTGTTCGCCACCCACGGCTCACGACAGAGCCGCACGCGTGCATGGCTCCGTCCCCGTTCCCGAGCCCCCGGGCGCCGCGGGGGCGTGCGGACTCACCTAGCGCGCTGGGTGTCTGGTGGAAGCAGGCGGTGACGGGCCGCGCCAGGATGCCCACGCTCAGCTGCAGGCCGTGCACGGTGACGTTGGTGAGCAGGTGGCAGACGACCACCACCCAGCCCCAGCCACCCTCCAGGTAGTAGTGCTGCGCCATGGTGGCCGTCACCACGCGCCGGCCCGGCGCCGCCGAGGTGGGTCGGCTCGGCGGGCCCACCAGCCGCTCGCCGCTCACCGGCTCTGACTCCAGGCCCGAGTCGGCCAGTCCGCTGAGGCCGCTCATCTGCCGCTCCAGCGGCCGCCGGCCCAGCGACGGCAGCGAGGAGGAGCGCGACAGGCGCATCCCGCCGGCGCCCAGCGTGGGCCCGGCGGCCGAGCCGGCCGAGCCCACACTCGGAGGGTCCATCGCCGTCCGCCCGGCGCCCCGTCAGCGCTGAGGGGGCAGCGGCGCCGGCCGGCCGCGCTGCATCGCGAGCGAGGTCCTCGCCGCCGGTCCCGCTAACTTCTCTTCAACGAGCTGGAACACTGATGGTGTGAAGATCTTAATTAATTCTTCAAGCAGTTTCTCTTCAGCGGGTTCCGTTCTTTCTTCAAGCAGCTGGCGACGTCTCAGCTGTGCTCACCAGTAGCGGAGTAGCCGCCTGCTGCGGTGCTCGGCACCTGCAGCGTCCTCACTCTCGGCCCTGAGCACCCTCCGCGCCTGCAGAGCCGCGACACGAAATGAGATTGGACCGTGAGCTTTGACGGCGTCACGGCAATGCGCCGCCGGCGCCCGCCGATGACATTGTCCGAGCGCCACGCGGCGCCTCCGATTGCTCTCGTACAGCCTCTCACGGGCAGCGCCAATGGCCGATGGAGCTATCTGACGGCGATGATTTATACTTTAGAGTCGGCCGTCGCGCCGGGTGGCCGCGTCGGACATTCAAACCACCCTGGACGAACGCCTTTACGATGCTGCCGCTTTGTGGGCGGCACTTCGGCCCCGTTTGCCAAAGATGACTTGCACCAGCTTTCGCACCGCACTAAATTGTGTGACAGGTAAAAAGGAGTCTCCTTTCAGCCATGCGACACTTGATTCACGACACTGGCGGTGTGTCATCAGCGCCAGCCTTGGCGACGACACTGTGGGTCAAGCCGGCCGCGGTGTCGCAACGGGGTATAGCGGCAGAGCCCCCGGCGCATCGCCGTCCGACCCGGCTACCATAACACGCCCACGATGCCCCAGTGGCGTCAGTGTTGGTGTTGGGAGCGCCGCAGCGCCCGACACCGCGATTCCAGCCGTGAGAGCCTCCGACCGGCGCCTTTGAAGAGCGCGCCGCGCGGACCGCGGCACACGAGCGCGCCGCTTTCGCCGCAGCCTGCGCTGCTGCATGCCGGCGCGCTGCAGCCGCCGCCGCCCGAGGCTGTGGTGATTGGTGGCCGGGTGGCGGCGATCGCGGCTGATAGATCAATTAATGGTCGGCCGCCGGCCGCAGCAGCCATTCAGTGTCGTCGGACACCTGCGACTCCGAGAGTCATTCAGCACGGCAGCCCCGACCGCGGGCCACCGCCGGCCGCGTGCCCTTTGTCCCGCCCACCACCCGTGATTGCTAGTAATGCAACTGCACTTTATTTCGCCATTTGCGATTGGCCTTTGGTCCTTGCAGAACCTTGATTTAGATCCGGGAGCGGTTTCCCAGTCGCACTAAACGTGCTGCAGTGAGACCACCGGTCGCTCCGCAACCCAGTGGCCAGCTGGAGCCTGGCCAGCCTCACGCGCCGTGACCATCGGAATCGATCTGTAAACGTTCCGCTATCGACTGCCCATCGTTTGATGACAGCTTTCTGAGCGAATTAACCAGACCGGGCTCGGACCAGACATACCGCTGGCGACGGAAACCATGTCACTGCTTTAACTGGACCGTTTCCCGCCCCTTGTTGTTCGGCTGTCTCGGATTTTTAATCTGCAGTCAAACGTATCGAAGCAAAGGAGCAGCGAACAGAAGTGTGCCACACTGAGCGGCATGCCATTCGTTCCAGTTACGCGGTCTAACTAGCACCTCCTGAGCTCGTTCCGGATATGAGAAGTAATACGGCCACGCCCCTGCACAGGAAGAGAGGTCAAAGGGCGGGACGGAGCCGCAATACGAAGCGGTGATTGCACACCGCGCGCCCATCCCTCTAAAAGCATGGGAATCGCCCACGCCGAGCGCATCATGTTCGGCAGTTGCGAGCGCATCATGTTGAGTTAGAGGACAGAACGTGAGAAGCGTGGCGTTTGGCGAACAATGAAATGAAATATCTATTAATTATGCAGCCCTGTTCGCTGGTAGCTGCTCAGGAAATAGATCTCGTACCGAGGATGAAGTTTGGTAAGGCAGAGTGCTAACGCAATGCCACTTCACCTCAAGTCACAATGAAAGCTGCAGATTAGGTAACGTAGCGTTGTCAAAACATTGAATCACCCAGTCTAAGTAAGAAGGTAACTGATAGTTTAAGAAAAAACGTATAAATTTGATTATAGGAATCTCCCTGTTAGAGTAAATCATATTTATTTGCATTGTTTCGTAAGTGGTAAGCTGACTGCCGACGACAATGACGACACTTGGTATTCACGCATTACTTCGGTTCCATCATTTTCTTACAAGAGAGGTCAATGCAACTTCAGCTTTTTTTTCTTTAAATCTATTGCAACAGAACTGCACTGCACGTAGCCTTGTGCATCTGCACATGGAACTGCAGTCTCTCGACTGTTACATCTGCATATCTCCTACTAACTGTGCGAGAACACTTCAGATTGTTCTGTCGCGGACCAATCAAAGATCGGGCTCGAATTAGTCGGGACTATCAACTCTCTGCTGACGTAATAATCGTGCAGCTAATCTGATGCCACCTAGTGTGAAGAGGGCGGTGAGCTGATTCAGGCGGTGGAATTCTCTAATTGTTGGGGCACACAATAGTTCCTACAAGGCATTCTATTTCAGCGCCATCAGATTTACTATTGCAGATAAAGTTCATTTACCAGGGTAATTCGTCTTCGCTCCATTGTAGAAGACAGTCATGAAGACAAATTTTCCCTGGAACAATCATTCATTAAGAAATCAATTAACAACAAGTCCCTCTCACGTGACGTCTGAGCTGCGTTCGTGCTAATTTCAGTCCCATGTAAATAGTTAAACTGGTTTAACTTCAGTTCTACGCCGCTCTTGTTGAGCGGCTCAACGCAATGAAATCGCACGCAAGGCTGGGTCCGCTTCATGTTCACACGGTAACAAAAGAAACGATAAAATTAACAAGTGAAAATGCCTCAGCGAGTGAGCAGCAAGCGCAAACGTTGCACGACTTCTTCAAAATGAAGGCGATTTTCTAAAGACAAGTTCCAAGGATATTCGAATAGCTTTCACGATTCGACAATAACGAAGGTACGTTCTTTCGTGTTTTATTGTTTTCAGATCATATCTTGTCGGGTTTTAGCAAATGGGGATGGGCTGGTTGCAGCTCAGCAGTACCAACATATATAGGTACAGCTCTTGTGCTTGTTTGGGCTTCTGCTGTTACTGCTATCTAAAATCGCAGCGTGAACCGCCATTTGTCTGCCAGTCTTCGCCGTTGTTATATCAAATTTATAGTGCCTGCTGGATATCACACCAGCTGCCAGAGGAGATAGCTACCTGATAACTGGAGCTTGCGGACGTCTCTCACATTCGCTGTGCCATAGTCTGTCTGAAGCCGCCCATCCCAGCGCCGTGGGAAAAGCCAAAAGGTACTTTCATTATGCCCGGTGTCGGGGCTGCGTCTTCACTTGCTTTGGTCATTGGGAGCTTGGTCAATCGAACAAGGTATCTGGTATAGCGGTAGCAAATAATTGGGCATTGGTATTCACGCACAAAGCTGCGTGGCTTTTGACATGGTGTAATATGTCACGCTGCACGTTTCTAAAGTGTGTTAAGCGACAGCTCGCGTCCCTCCCTCCGTCCCTTCCTCTTTTCCTCTTCCTCTCTTTCTGCAATACAACCGGACTCAGTGAACCCAGCCGAACCGACCGCCACTCAATGCCGAATCGCCCTGAGCTGTTAGACCTGCTGCTACCCCAACTGTTAACCACTTAACAGCCCTCGATCGAACCCACTGCCCTCCCTGGGGACTCGGCGTCACACCGGTCCGTCGCGGCCATGCAAATGACGCTCTATCAGCGAACACATCAGCTCGCCGCCGGCCGAGCCGGCCGGCAGATCTTGTCATTGCTTTTACTGCAGCAAATGCCTCATTGAGAGGCTGTTCCACCCGACGGCGCCGCTCGCTCGCGGGAGTCCCGGCACGCCTCTGCGGCCGGTGGGACGTCAATTATCACCGCGGAGGCGGAGCGGGCCCGCTGGAGGCGAGGCGGCTGGGAGAGCCGAGCTCAGCACATGGTGAGATGTCACCTGAACGGATGAGGAACTGGGTGGCGCCGATGGAAGTTGTGCAGAGAAGTTCCTATTGTTGAAAAGGGTAACTCCGACTGGCCAGCGCTCTGGACCGGAGCCCCTCAGCCGCCAGCTATGCATAGGTCTGGTCTGGTCTGGTTTGGTCTGGTCTGCCGACGTGGACGACCCTCTCCACCTGTCTCCGTCACCCGTAAATTGTCAACTTCAGGCAGGACGATCGGCCCACCGATGCGCTGACACAAATGTAGGACTAGGCACCGGGCCGGAACTATCGAGACGGTGGTTCAACACTCACTGCAATTTGGACGGCGTATGGCGGGGGTGGCATGAATAGTGGATGACGGGGAGAGGGTTCTGTCGACGATAGGGTACCATTCGGGGTAGATGCAGAATTGAGGTGGTCAGCCAGTGGAAAAGTGTAATAAATAAACGGAAACAGCCTGGACTTCAGACTTGTGGAACAGAGACCGTTACAAGCAATAAAGTATCCGCCTGTCGCTTACCATTCCAAAACCTGTTGTTCAGGTGACCGCTTATCTTCACTTCTATCCTGCCAGTCGGCATGTGAATGGAATGGACGAGCGGGTCCAGAAAAGTTGTCCAACATCCGATTCGATGCTGTTGATCGCATCACAAAACAGGCATGACATAAGCGGGCGGATGCATGGTTTGGCATATGACCATGATGTCTCTGCGATATTCAGCAGCTGCCTCGGAGTGACCAGGGTACTCCGGAGATGACCGGCACGATTAGCAGGTGGAGCGGGGTACGGAACGGGCGGAGACTGCCGGCGATGATGTATTGAATGGCCGACACCCACTAACAGACGATGATGCATTACTGACCAGTGGCCACGGCGGCACGGCGGGCCAGGGAGCCGTGAACCGCGAGAAAAGTCATTGGGTCGGGGTATGCAGACTGCACATGTCCCGAGAAGTGGACGACTGTACTTACATACACTGTAAAAAAATAACACCAATTCAAAAATTAATTTAGGCACCCTAAATGGTTGCACCAATTTAGGGTGCATAAAATAAGCCGGTACAGGGAGCTATTTTTCGACACGGGTGCTTAACCTCAGCAACCATTTAGCCTTCTTAAAATAAGCCGGTACAGGGACAGGGAGAGCTGGTTTTTGACATGGGTGCCATACTTTTTTACAGTGTATTTATACAGAGATTGAACACCGAATGGTGCGATCTGTTTTGTAGGTATGATGTGTAAGCTCATAATTTAATTACATAAGCCGTTAATAATGTAAGCCCCTGCACTTCCGACTGGAGTATGGTAGCCTTCTGTACAGAAGGTCTACAAAATAAGTCCCCGCCGTAAGCGGGTCACCAGTGGGCAGTTAGCGCCTGAGCGCTACTCAGGCGCCAACTGCCCGCATACGGAGAGGACTTATTTTGTAGACCTTCTGTACAAAACATTACACAGTACATGCGGGCGGAGACTGCCCGCCTGTCCAGTGCCCGTTGCCCGTGCTGTGCGCGGTGTACCAATAATGGTCCGAGAGCCGGGCCCAGTTGGTAACCGGGCGGCCGAACCCAACCCACTGGCCTGTGACGGACGACGGCAACAAATGCGACTTTTAAACCGGACGCGATTCGGTGCCCGAGTTATGTTCGGCGTCAGCAGGCTGGGTGAACTAGTTGGGCGGCCGTGACTGATGACGATATGATCACTAAATGCAATCCAACGAGGAGCTCTCAATCATGTCGCCAAGATTTTTCATTACAAAAGCAGAGAATGTTTGATCCACAAAAGCCGGAAGTGTCTTGTTTCAGTTAGCGTGCAGTTATTTGGTGACGAACTCTTAACCCTATTCCTGGCGGGGGAATAGGGCTCAGGAGCCCCCCCCCCTGAGGTTTTTTGGTTATTTCTCCCAAACGCGTTGAGCTAGGAAGCTCAAATTTTCTGACTTTTCCTAAAAGGCTTCTACGCAACATGTCTGAAAATTTTGAGTTGATCTGACCTCAGGTCAGGTCACCAGAGGCGGTTTGGTGACCCTACCTCAGAAAAGTTTGCAATCACGCCAGAGCTAGAGTTTTTGACCGATCAATTTCTTCTCTTCAGGCTTTAGTTAGGATACCAGTATGTGCAATTTGTATATCTCGGAATTTTGATATCGGTGACCTAAGGTCAGGTCAGTTTCGCGACCTCGTCAATGGGGGAAAAATCAACTCCCTGTTTTTACCACTAAAACGGGTCGGAATGGCCCCATATACCATACATGACTTCATATACGATCAACCTTCACTACCTTGAGGTTTGTTTTGCTGTTGGGCAGCTGTGAGGTCATGTGACGTCATCAAAGGTCACCAAAGGTTTTTGGCCAATAACTCCGTACAGGAACAAGATACAGACGCGTGGATGGTCTCATTGTGTTCAGCTCGTCAAGACGCATCGAATGATATACATGATGACCTCGAGGTCACGTGACCTGAGGTCAACCTTTGACCTTGACCTTTCGAGGTCAACATATATATCATTCGATGCGGATTGACGAGAGGATCACGATGATGCCCTTAGTTTGTTCCTATCTTGACTAATTCGAAAGTTATTCGAGAAAAACTCTCTCCATATCTAGCGCCGCCATTTTGACTTTTTCGACCCCTGTGACGTCATCTTTGACCTGACCTGAAAATGACCTTTGTAAAAATTGTAGATCTTGACCGTGCGTATCCGATGCCGTTTACCGCTTGTCGCTATCTTGCTTCGTTCTCGAGATCTCAGGGGGGGGGGGCCGAATCGGCCCCCACCCCCCCGCCAGTTTCTTGTCCCGGCGGAGCCCGCCAGGAATAGGGTAGCATCAATCAGTTCGATAAATTGCCTCTAGGATTCTTCGACATTTAGATTCACCCAATTTCACTCAAACAAAATGGAATAAACACCTGTTAAACATTCACTCACTTTCTGCACGTAGGACGCGCCATTCAGGTCGAAACACTTGTTAAAATAATACAAACGATTACGGCCTCTACGCCTTTATCTTAACCATGTAACTACCTACTCAGTGGCATGTTCAATGTCTTGCTTGCTTTTGTGTTACATTTGTGACTTGTCAGTGCGATTATGTTCAGGCCCCAGCTACATTATCAATCTTATCTTACAGGGACAACATTAAAAGTTATTGCGAAAATTAAAAACCTCAACAAAGCTGCTAATAAGACGTCTGAATAAGCTGGCTCCTTCCCGACCTGCAGCTCACCAGTGCAGCTGCAAGAAAGGCTGTAGGAGTTTAGTCGTGGTGTTAACTCGAAATACAACGTTATTGGTAAGTGATGGTGACTTTTCGTACCTACTTGATAGTCCTATTCGCACGAAGGGTCGCCTTCTGCCCTTTACATCCAATTAAGAGTATGATCAAAGTGAAAAATGATCCCCTTATTATTTCACGTAGCCTAATGCATGCTTCAATTGGAGATCTAGCGCTCAATTTGCCTGCATTCTCTGTAATAAATCTAAATAATGCGGCGATGACGGTAAATTTATCTAGGGCTCATTAGAGCAGTACTTCAATTAGGAATCATTAAATGAGGAAATAAGTGAACTAATTGTGTAATAACATTGATTATTACCACTGATCTATATCCATCATTCTTAACAGTATATTATCTGCTCTAAAAATATTAGAATTGCCCATGGCCATGATGATAGTCTCTTTAGATAATTATTATCTGTGGTGACCTGTGACACATCTCAAATGAAACTTTTTATGTAGATTAGCTAGAAAAAAGGTGTGATGGTTGAATTTAAGTATCCAAAATTTTAATGAAACCATGGCAAAGCCTAACTGCAGAAGGGTGCAATCACCAATCAGTACCAGATACGTTTAATACCCATTTTCGAAACAAATAATATGTTTCTGTTTATCGCCTAACTAAAGATTATGGTTCAGGTGGTTTCAACATATTTGCCGTAATTTGACATTTTTAAGGGCACATAGACTGTATACTGAATGAAACGTCATTCAAATATTGAAAGTCAAAATATAATTATATAATTCAAATATAGCTTATCACGAATAACATTGGTATTTTGGGATAATGTTCACTATATAGTAGGAGTTTTCGGGACTTAGTAGCGAATGCAGCTTAACCCTCGCCCTGGCAGGGCATTTTTTATAACACGGCCTGGCAGGGGGGGGGGGGTCGATGCGACCCCCCTCGCGATTGGCTCCATGGCACCTAGAAACACCAAATTTGGTAGGTAGGTGAACCCCCTGGAGTTCTCGCCCCTGTGCAAATTTGGTTGCTCTAGGTCAATATTTAGGGGGTTTTGGGGGGTATAAATGTAAAAAAATCGCTAAAAACAGGTCAAAAGTTTTTCGCTTATAACTTTTGATCTAATAAGGATAGAGAAAAAAGAAAAACACCAGTGAACAGTGAACTCACCACGTCAAGGCGCGTCGAATGATGTACTTTTTGCTTGCTTAAGTGTACCTGAAGTTTTTCTTAATTTTTAAGTAAACTTTAATTAATTAATTAAGTTCAAGTTAACCAAATTGCATCATATCGCATCTCATTATATTTGACTGATCACCAGGAACACAATGACACCATTTTTTAAGCTCTACTGTTATTATGTGCCAAGTTATTGGCAAAAACGTCATTTGACCTCAGTTGACCTCATTTGACCTGACCCATGGATAAGTAGGTACACCAAACAAATAAGCACCAAGTGACCTGTTGTTAAGTACTGTGGTTTCAAAGCACAAAAGTGATAGAACGAATCGGATATCTCCAGTATTTTCCGAATTTAGTATTTTCCCATAGGCTTAACATTTCGACGTAATGACCTCTAACTGACCTCAGGTCAGTGACATCAAAAACCCGAACTATATGATATACAACTCGGTGAACTTAGCACATCCTGAAAGTTTGAAGGAAATCAGTCCAAAACTGTGAGTTGGACAGGTGCAAAAAGAAAATTGAAATTTGACCATGACCTTGTACCGGTTTTTCTGACCTGGTGACCTGACCCAAGGTCACCCGGACCTGAAATTTTCAGGTTATATGTAAAAAGGCTGCCCCATAGGCTGTGCCAAATTTGGCGGCGCTGCGCGCCGCCGTTTTTACGCTATCTTTGAAAAACCTTAGGGGGGTCGCATCCACCCCCCCTGCCAGGGCGAGGGTTAATCAAGCAAGATCGGCAGGTTATCTATAAAAAAAAAAATCATTGGAATGCGCCAATACAATGGCAGTTCTACACCCGTACAGGCAGCCCTGCGCCCATCATGGCAGCTCTGCACCCTTACGGACATCTCTGCGTCAATAAGGATATATTTGTGTCCATACGGACAGCTCTGTGACCATACGGAGTCGCAGACGGCTCTGTGCCCATACGGACAGCTCTGTGCCCATACAGCTAGTTCTGCGCCCTTGCAGACAGCCGCGTTCGCACGCGTTTGGTCGGAGGTCCACCGAAGTTGTGGGATCACCGCGGATAGCAGATGAAACGTCAACGGAAGTGCGCCATGGACGTCCGGGAGCTGTTTAAGGAGCGTTTAACTGAAGTAAGTACAGACCGAGCCATTGGCGATTGGTCATGCCGAGACCCCGAGAGGCAGCACGAGAGCAAAAAGGTGTGAGCGGTACTTCGGTACTGAGCACCGAGGTCCAATGCCCACCAAATCAGCAGAGGAGCACGGAAATTCCCCTATCCGGTGCCCCATTTGGTTGTTATGTCTCGCATTGCTTATTGAATTGCCGTTTTATGAAATTTTTGAACTGGAGTCAAGCGTTTCTTCTTGAATCCGTTTCGACATTACCTTCTCGACTCTTGATTCTCGATGCTACGACTCCACAGATATTCCACACCCTGTATCGGATCGGTGGACGGCACCGTATATCACCACCCGTTCGCAATATCACTGACACTGTGTGGAGTTGTTTCCCACGCACAGGTGTCGGGGTCTCCTCGCAGGTCCTCGGTCATAAATCGACCCTCCTCTGTCCTAGCACACGGCTCCAGCCTCAGCGCACCTCTGTGGACCTCTCTGACCATCACCAGGTCCCGTCACTCTCAGGCGGCACATGGGAGACGGACCTCCACCGCACCCCGTCCAGTACTAACGTGGGACCGACGTCGGCTCACAGAGCTCTCCCGCCGACAGCGCCCCTGGCGGCCAGAGCGGGAAACTCACCTGCACAGCTGACTGACTGCAATGAAAATCGAGGAGTGCGCGAAAGACCGCAAATGCTTTGGCTAACGAAGATCCGTGCCATTTATTCGCACCTACGGTAATATATTGATCAGATAAGGTTTCAAATCTGGTTAGCAAACTAGAAAAGAGTCGTGATTGAGTTGAGCTGAGTCAGTTTACGTGAAATTCGTGACTGGTGATATCCGTATAATCCCGATAGGCGATTCGTTGATTATTCATGGTTAAATGAACAATCGATACTGATCTCTTATTTACCAGGCATTCAAGGAGAAAATCAAACCAACTGGAGAAATCCAGCAAGTCACAAAAGCCGGGGCAGTGCAGAGATCAGCTACCTTCCGATTCGGTCACGAACATCAAACGCACTAACTATATATATGTATAACATTCCGAGCGTGTACGTTTATAATCATGAAAGTTGAAACAGGTGCTTGAGAAAAAAAAACTAGAAGAATATTCACGCAGCTAAAAAAGGTATACTTACCAGAATTGAGCGGGAAAGGGTTGGGGGACTATGGAGGTTAGGAGTTGACATTCATTTTGTCCCAGCAGCCCTACATGGCGGTGCTCCCTCAGCTGCTGTAAATTTCAGTCCGTGACACCGACAGAGCCGTGGAGGGGAGGAGGTGACGGGGTGTAGATACCGGGGGGCCGGGGGGGGGGACTCCGGCGTCTGGTGGAAATTTATCGGCCATCAACTGCATGCCACCAGCGGGATAGGGGACTTGTTGACGGCTACAGTAAACGAGCTGGGACCGAACACGGCGAGGCTTAGAAAGACATCATTATACTCGTATTCTGCAAGTTGCAAGTGCAATTCGCCTGCGTAATTGCCATTTTCCATCGTCACATCGTCTTCAGTAGTGTCATTTGGTGCAGATTTTGGTGCATATCAGACATTATTTTCGGTTACAACACTGAAATGAATTAATGATAAGAAGATATTTGTTGTAAAAGAGAGCTCGTGCAGGTTGGGTCAAGTTTGGTGCATTCGCCAGATAAACCGTCGTGAAAACGGCGCGGATTGTATGTAATTGTGAATTATCGATTTCAAAATATCATGGGCACTGTTAACTGTAGTTTTGACGGCGTGCTTTGGCTGGTTATTACTGCATACCTGTTGGTTGCACGTTTCAGTAGACGTTTATAATCCATTTAGTGTAGTTAGTATTTATTGGGTTCGTCGGCAATGAAATCAAGGTTGTGACTTGTGAGCAATTTATTAGCTCTTGGAATAATATTTCATAAGATGCGAGGGTGCCTCAACACTAAAATATAAGTTAGGTGATAACTGATAGCTTTTCATTTTGCGACTTCCAGAGATTCAAAACATTTTAACATTAAAATTCAACGTAACACATACCTATGACATGAATGAGTAATATGATGCATCGTTAAAAATGGAGGAGAAAGTCAATAAAGTAAACTATTTTTACTAACTTAGTGAATAAAGCCAGAACAAAATAGATCCCGCCAGAATGACCCACATCCAAAATCGTCTATTCGGATTGATGATTTGCATAATTGAGCTCCTGGTCTCTCTAAACACAGGCTACCTGCCATTCCACTTACCTTTTCTCTGACATTTTGTTCCCATTCCAGCTACAAAAAAGAGTTTTCTGCGTGCCTTCCTATCGCGGTCGTCCCAGAATTGGCACCACGCGCCGGGAGGGGGGGGGGGCGCACGTGACAAAATGCACGGGGCCGGCGCGCGCTCCGGGAGTGGCGCGCTGGCGCTCCTCAGGGGTGCTCATTGCGCGATAAAGGCGCGATAAACAGCGTCCGAAAAACCGCTCCGGTTCGTCCGCCGGCGTGTGTCGGGTGCCAACGAAACGCGGTCGGCCCGCACGGGTCCAATCAGACGCCGCCCGCTGATCGACGGGCGGCGGACGGCTGGGGCAGACCTGCCGGGCGGTGGACGGGGCGGCGGACAGGGCGGTGGACGGCCGGGGCGGAACTGCAGGGCGGTGGACGGCGGGGGCGGGCCTGCCAGGCGGTGGACGGGCGGTGGACGGGGCGGCACTGCAGGGCGGTGGATGGGGCGGTGGACGGCCCGGACAGACCTGCCGGGCGGTGGATGGGCGGTGGGCGGCCGGGTGGCGGACGGACGGGGCGGCACTGCAGGGCGGTGGACGGGCGGTGGGCGGCCGGGGCGGGCCTGCAGGGCGGTGGACGGACGGAGCTGACCTGCAGGGCGGTGGACGGCCAGGGCGGACCTGGCAGGCGGTGGACGGGGCGGCGGACGGACGGTGGACGGCCCGGGCGGACCTACAGGGCCGACCTGCAAGGTGGGCCGGTGGATAGATCGGTGGACGGGACGAGATTCGGCCCAACCTCTCAAAACACCACCGCAAATCGAGCGGTCATCACAACTGTGTGTAGAGCTGACCAAGATGCGTGAGCCGATGAGTGGAAAAAGAAGTCGTAAGAACAACACCAGTTCACAAGGGAAGTAATCGTAGCGTTCCGGGGACGTATTCGATAGGAGCTCGAATAGCTCATGGTGTCCAGTCTGATCGTCTGGCGATCGCCCGAGGCGATAAATTTCGACCGTGTTCAGGCACGCCAGGCAGGGCCGCGGGTGATCAATCCACATCGAACGAGAGATTAGACGTCTCAGTCAGGGCCCGGCGGCCGGTCAGTGTCGGGGGGGGGGGGGAGGGGGCTATCGGGGGGGGGGAAGGTCGGCTGTTTGGGTTGTCAACGGTCCAGACGGCAGCAAGGAAGGTTGGTGGTTTCCTAGTGTGGCTGAGAACGCTGCCTGTTCAGCTTCACAGCTGACTAAGCACCAACGACTTATTGCGCTTGTTAGTGAGACTCATCGAGCAAAAAGATAAGCTGGCCAGACAAATGGTCGACGGGTGCAGTACATCATACACTGAGGCTGATTCTTTGCCTCATATAAAGAAGCAAACGATCCTGTCATGCATTCATTAATTGTCTCACTAAGCATGTTGTGGAAAAACAACGAGAGGAGGCCTTTTTGTTCCAGAACAATAGCGGTATGGTAACTGATACCGACAAAATTTACAAAAATAAAGCTTCACATTTTTATAGACCGATGAATAATGGAAATAGAATGACTTCAAATGAACCAACCAAGGTGTTCCAGAAGGAACGAGATCGTGGAAATTCTTACGAGATAGCGGATTAAATTAACAAAACAACTGTAAGGCGGCGTGGGCCGCGGCTTGGCGGAGGATATAGCCCACCGCTGTATTTCCATCGCCGGGATGTGTTCTGCTCGCGATTTTGACATCTGCCTCCGGTCCTAACCATGTGATTGGAGCGCTCCATCAAACTGTTCCCACTCAATCGCCGCTCGTCTGTTTGACTAATTCGCCCGAATGCATTAGAGGAAGCGGCATAAATATCGCCGGCGAAACTCATAAAGTGCAGCTTTGGACAGCTTAGCGCTGAAACACGCACTATGTCTCGCAGCCGATGTATTGGGACAGCCTCAACAGAAACGGATGGCCGGCTCATCGGACAATATTTCCAGGCAGTAGAAGTTCCGCGCACGCTGAATCACGCCAGTTACAATATTTCCCAAATGAAATATATTCAATGAAACTAACCTATACCAGTGTGGAAGTCCCGCCACCAGTCTCTCCCGGTTGAGGTTTGACTCGCGCCGTTTTTTCCGACCGTGCAGGGTTTGACCCGTGACCGGCGCCTCTCGCGAATAAAAACGGACGGGCCGACCACCTTCCCGTCAGTTTTTCGGCGGCAGAACGCTCGCCGGTCGCGGTCGAATTGGCGGCGGTCCCCAGGCCCCGTGTAACCGGTCTGACAAATTGACGGGCCTCGGCGCGCCGACAATCCGCTGTCAGGACGCAGGGGACCGGTCACAGGCGGCTGATTAAGCTGTCCAGCGTCGGCCCGAAATGCAGCTCTTCGACGGGCTTGTTTTGCTTTGGGGCGTGAATACAGACATAAGCGCTGCTGAGCATTTTCATGGCTGACTGGTCCGTTATAAGTTAACATAACGATGACGTTAGATTCAGTCAGTTCTCGGCTCTCGCTGAAAGAAAAATCGCTGAAAGGAATAAGAGCATCCAGAAAAAAATATACATTGCACTTGTAAACCGAGCATATCTCAGGGGCTCGGCTCGTTCAGTGTCGAATCTACCAGCCGCGGCGGGTCACGCCGTATTTCAGAGCGGGGCGATATGACATCAGTGTGCTCTCGCGCCGCATTGGCGCCTGAAATCGTCCGTGATGCGCCGTGTTTGTCGACAAACGGTCCGACTGGCGGGGTAGTTGGGTGTGAAACGAGCCCACGTAAACTATCAGTGACCTACAGTGAGACATGGTTCCAGCCATCAGTGACCCGCAGTGAGACAGTTCCAGCCATCAGTGACCCGCAGTGAGACAGAGTTCCGTTCCAGCCATCAGTGACCAACAGGGAGGCAGTGCTACAGCCAAGTGACCCGCATTGAGACAGTGCTACAGCCACCAGTGACCGTATATTTACGCTCCACTATTACCACCGGTATGCCAATCGATATCAGCCAGACCTTGTTGACAGCATGCAGCTGAATTCATCAGCAGCCTGCCATTGACGGGTGCCACGCTTCAGAAGTCGCCGCCATTCATAGACCGGAAGGTGAATGACGAAATGCTGCGAACGCCTGTCGCGCCGTCGTTAGTTTTCACTTGGTGGACGTTTTTCTACCACGTGCTGCTGTAATTGAATTGAATTGTTGAGACGGGCAAAGACCCACTCCGGCGTACACAAGAAGTCCGAACAAAAGTGGAGTTGAACTATTATCGGAAGCTGTCAGCCATGAGCTCTGCTGTATTGTGAATTCTTCACTGTGTGTTCACCGTGGATCGCCGCTGCTCCTGTTTTTATTCTGATCACATCGACTCGGATTTAACCCGCGCCCCACTGG